ACTCAGTCATACAGTTTCCAGCCGCTAGTGGTGATTCAGAGATTTTTTCCAGTCTATTCACGTGAGTTGTCCTGGACTCTCCACCCAGATTCACAACTTCCTCTCCTTCTGGTTCTTTCTCCAGTCTACACCTGTATTCAGAACTTTGACTATCAGCCTGCTCTGGGCTCTCTGGACTTGGATCTATATGTTGTCTCTTTCATGGGCCCTTGACATTGCTCTTTCCCTGAATCCTTATCCTTCACTAAGTGTAAATGTCCTGTCTGTCCCTATCCCCTGTCAACTGGTTATTTTGATCCAATCTTTGTTTTTCAAATTAAGCACTTCTGACTTAAAGTTATTTAAGTATAGTGTTTATGATAATCACATGCATTAATTTGGTGGACTATGAATTGCTAGATTATTTGGAGGAAGAAATTTCTGCAATATTTATAAAAATCTGCAATCTCCACACACTATCCACTGTAACCCAATTTCCACCTTGCTATCAGAACAGTAGACTTTAGCACAAGAAGTCATGTTTGAAATATTTCAGTTCTGTAAGTCACAGCAACAAATGGGAAAGAAATATGTCTGTCTGGGGAGATGGTTAAATATGCCAATACATGCTATGGTGCTTGTGTCTAGTTGCTCAGTCGTGTCCGACTCTGTGCAACCCTATGGATTGTAGCCCACCAGGCTCCTCTGTCCATGGAATTCTCCAGGCAAGAATACTGGAGTGGGTTGCCATGCCCTCCTCAATACATGCTATGGGGACAGTTATAAAAGTTAAGACAATCTATATGTGTTGTCATGGAGAAATCCTGTATTCATGTTAAATGGAAAAGATATATAGCAGATTATTATGTGTATCACTATCCATTATGTTTTAAAATAGTAACATATTTTTATAATACATTTATATATGAGAAAGCTTAGAACTAGCTTTGAAATAATATACTAGATTATTAATTGTAGCTACCTCTAAGAATGTGGCTGCATTATGAAGGAATATTATAAAGATGGAGATTATGATTTGTCTATATTTAGAATTTTTGCACCAAGAATACATGACTAGCCTTATTATGAAAATATTTAAATAAGTCTAACAACAGAAATAGTAGTTGTACATGAATCAGATAAAATTTCTGCTAGCTGATGGAACAGACAACAGTTGAAATATGAATGTCTTAATATAATGAGTTTATTTCTTGTGCACATAATACCTGATTGGTTTGGTAAGGAATTTTTGCTACCAGGTAACCCAGAGATTTAGGCTGCCTCCATCTTGTACCTCCACATCTTAACATAAGGTCTCCATGTTTGCTAGTGGATGGAAGAGGAATCATTTTAGTGGCATACTGGTTCTCAAATGTTTTGCCCTGTAAGTGACAAACATTGCTTTTGCTCATATCTCAGCTAGAGGGGCTAGTCACATGATCCTTTCTAAGAACAAGAAAACTGGGAAATGTAGCCTTCCCATGAAGCCAGGAAGGAAGTCAAGTTGTGGATGAGCACTTGTAGTCTGTTTCATATGCTGTTACATAGTAGGTGCCCAGTAGCAGTAGTAGAGAGCAACTACCAGAATTTATGTCAATGATCCTCTTCATTTGCTGATGGAGTTTCTGGGGAAGCCAGATGTCCATTGCAGTTCTCCCATTATATGAGATCTTTCTATGTAACAGGTGTTTTCCAGTAAAGGGTCACATACACGTTTCAAAAAGACTTTGTAAATCTCTGCAGGAAGGGCTTGCTATACTTCACTCAAAAGTATTGTTCTACACTGTTTTTTTCAATAACCACTATGATCATAGTATACTGAGAATTTTCTCCTTCCTACTGGTGCAGTGACAAAACTTTAACTTGTGATTCTCTACAGTTTGCTATGTGACTGAAAATACCTGGACAACTGCACAGATGCAATTATACATATTGAAAACCAAGATTTTCTCTTGCTCTCTACATTATCTATCCATCTTCTTTCTATGTAATAGAAATACATAATATACGTATTTATCTATCACCCAAATGTAATACTAAAGAATCATATTCTACCTCCTAGGAGGAGTCCAGAGTTTAGAGAAATTTAGTTACTATAGATGTTTGTTTACTTATTTCAGAGTCTTTCCCCATTTATCACTTATAGGAGAGGTTTTGGTTTTCAACCACCAAGGTAAGCTCATTTATCAATTTATATGTCCAATAGCCTTATAACCCTCTCACTCCCTTAGCCCCATTCTGTCTTATATCCAAATTTAACTTAACTCTCGTCAAAGAAATAGGTTTTTCCCTCTATTCTCAAATAAGAGAAACCATTAAAATTCTATTGAAAGTACCAAAATCTCATCCCTTGGAGATATAGTACCAAAACTAGTGGATTCTTTGCCAAATTAGACTTTGTTGTTTGTTTAGTCACTAAGTTATGTCCAGCCCTTTGCAACCCCATGAACTGCAGCCCATCAGGCTTCTCTGTCCATGGGACTCCCCAGCCAAGAATACTGGAATGGGTTGCCATTTCCCTCTCCAGGGGATCTTCCTGACACAGGAATCCAACCTTGTGCCTCCTGCGTTGGCAGGCAGATTTTTTTGACATTGAGCCACCAGGGAAGCCCACAAATCAGTTTTTACTCACCAGATTATCTGGAAATCATTTTGAGAAGGTGATGAAGATGCCAGGTGGTGATGATCAGGTCTAAATTTCCTGTCAAAATGACCTTACACATGGAATAGTATATTGCTAACAGGGATTCCATGGTGAGGAATGGGACTGCCAGGGAATTGGAATACTTTTAAGTCAAAGGAAGGGCAGGTGATTCTGGGCTGTTGCACTGGGAGAAGGTGCAGGCTACAGCAGAGGATACAGAGAAGAGCTGGTAAGCAGGTTGAGGCTCCAATTTGGACATGAGGGCACACTACAGTAGACCCAGGGGAAGGGTGCTATAATGCACATGTAGGGGAATAAAAATAATCTTCCGTCTATCCTTCTAGGTTCTTGGCTGAGAATCCCTTGTAATAAAAAGACAGATTAATAGGGAGAAAACAAATTTAATTACATATATATGTAGTTACAGGAGCCCCACAAAGACGAGACTCAAAGGAGTGATCAAATCTGGAAACTCTGGTAACTTTTACACAAACAATAAATTTGTAAAGAATTGACAAGGCAGAAGGGTTTGGGCTAGAGGCAGTAAATGGTGAAGGAGTAACAAGATTTCTTTACATCATCTCCTTGGCTCTCAATTCCTTTCTCTTCTTATAAAAATGCCTTCTATCTTCCTCGTACAGGGAGAGTACCTTTCACAGTGGAGACTTATCTCCTACTTTCAGGGGGACAAAGGAGGGTCACAGTGTCCCTCCTGCATAGTTTCTCAAGTACCTTTAATTCAAAATAATCAATATTCCAAAATGGCATATTCTGGGGTGATATATTCTGAACCCCTATACACAAAAGATGGAAATGCTATCCCCTGGGCAAAGTCAGCTCTCAAGGAACCCCAGGGTTAATGATAGCAAGATTCTAGGTAAATGATACCCTTTAGACAACCTCCATAGGTAAATGATGCCCTTTAGACAATCTCCAAATTGTATTTCATTATCATTTTCACTTTTCTTCTTTACATGTGCTTTTAGTGCTTTGGATTCCAGGTTCTTTTTCTCCCAAGAGGCATTAGGAAGTAGTGAGAACAGAAATGAATCAAGAGACAGAGGGTGGATCTCCTCCTTATTTTTTTTTCCCCATTCAAATCATCCTTATTTTCATTAATTTCACATCTATCAAAACATAAGCATTTCTTAGACTATGCAAACTTACACTGAAAATAATCTATTTACATTTCCCTTAAACGGAGTAGCCTCTGGCTCTCCCAGTCCAGGGCAACATTTGCCAAACCAGTGGTTTCTCACCTAGAGAAAGTTTCATTGTTATCTCTTAAAAATCCCTTAAAGACAACATGCGTAAGACTTACTTTGCGAATTATGTTAACTGGCACAGAGACAAGATTACAAAAAAACTTCCATTCCTACCCCAGTAAAGATTTCTCTTTCTAAACCATGACCCCAAAGTAACTGCAAGGAACAGTTTTCCACTCCTGCTTTTTGAGTCTCAACTCTGAGACACACCATCTGAAGGTCTGATCACTGATTACCACTCTATCAGTCCATCTTGCTATATATCCAATTTTAACTTAAAATGAACTCTCATAGAATGAATTCCATCTCCCCCAAACCCTAAATTTCCTTGCCCCAGAGGATTTACACTTGACAGCCTCACATGGAATACCGCACACTCCTGCTAACTCCTTTTGCTCGCCTGTTAGATATTATGAGACATTCCACCATTATTATTATTATTGGACTGTCAATCCTAGAAGCAAAAATTATAAGAGCAAGTTTTAGATCTTGTTTATCCTACAATCTCCAGTACTAACATGGTGATTTTCAAAGAGCAAATATTCAATAAAAGTTAAGAAATAAAAACAAACAGTGAGAATGGGATCTAACTGACTGAACTTTAATTCTTGTATATTCATAAGTACATTAACAAATTCAAGCATTTTTCATTTAACTTAACAAAAGATATGAGGGCCATGGACTGAAATTCTTTTACATGTTCTCTGTTTCTTGAACTCAACTATTTTAATACTGATTTCCTTCACATTTCCAGTAAATGCCTATAGTAATGCCATGTTATATTGCTCCAGATGACAAAGATGATTTTACAATCTGTTTTATAAAATTCTTACTATTAAATGTCATTGCAAGATTAAGTCTATAACCAACATTATTCATAAACTTGAAGATTTTGAAGGCAATTAAATATACATTAAAAGAAACATTTGAATAATACACAGAAAAAATTCTTGAGTTACATATATAAAATGGTGACACATAGGCATACATACTATCTTCTTTTCAGTCCCACCTCAGACCTAAATCTACGAACACTAACTGCTTTTTTGAACAATGCACGAAGAAACTATCCCTGACTCCCCTAGTTGAGGAAGCAGCTGCTAGTCTCTACATTAGAACTTGCAGTAGCAGATACAATCGTCTGAAACTCTGGCCTGAGCGTTCTCGTTTTCATCTTGCAAAGCCTCCTCATACTGAGATAGGAAATAACTTGGGTCAGTCCCATTAACCTCGGCCAGAAACTCCAGGATCTTCATCTTGGTTGTTTCAGCATGAGCTCTGGGGCCCCACAGGAACACAGACTGCACAGGACCAGCGCTGGCCACCTGCTCGAACTCTAGGTATCCTTCCCTCACAAAATCTTGGGTGATGAGTTGCTTGAGCTCCCCAAAGAAGAAGTACTTCCTTCCAGAACACATACTGGTCACATTCAGAACCTCCCAGACTTCATCTTCGGTGGCGCAGTTGCCCTTCATGAAGATCACACCCAGGATAAGTATCAGGATGCCGGTCTTGGGCACGCCTGCTTCACCATGCATCATGCCATCATAGGTGAGGCCCAATTTAATGAAAAGGCCATAGCAGTGGTTGATGGGATCCACTTCCTTCAGATCAAGGCCAAAGAGCATTCCCATGCACTCAGAGGCTCTCTGGAGGATCTCATGGAAACGGACTTCACACTTGTAGATGGCAACATTCATCATATCAGCTTTTGTTACTGGCTGTTTCATTTGATACTTGAGCAGCAAGAAATTCACCAACAAAGCCACTTCTTCACTTAGAGGATCTATGGGCATACTCACAGGGTATGACATAACCTGTGAGTTATTTAGACTATAATCTCCATTTTGGCTAGTGGAAAACTCCTCTGACTGGATCAAAAAGGCGGCAGTGGTGGCAACAGATGAGTAGAAACTCAGATAATTCTCAGGAGTACTGGGAAAATCACGAGGCATTAGAAATTGGGAGGGTATGTTGGTCTCCCTCAGTGCCCTGGAGACCTGTGCAACCTCCCAACCGTAGGACTTATAGGTCTTGCGGAATTTATCACGTGAGTGTTGCCAACGCTTCTGACACCAAGGCATGATGACTCTTGTGGATGGCAATAGGTAGACAGGAGGATGGGCAATGAGATTCACCACCTAAGATAAACAGGGTGTATATGAGTGGCCTCAGCTGCTAAACTTAACTGTGGTGGCTTTTTACTTCCCGAGACACGGGGGCTGGGAGGGGGTAAGGGGGCTCCCTGCCTAATTCCCTGGGCCTCTCAGGGCTGACAATAGGGCAAGGGCTCCAACAATCCTCACATCTGCTCCTCAAATTAAATTCTGGTTGGTAATGTGCCCGCTCTATCTACTGCTTGAGGCCTCCATTCAAGGCTTCATCTCTGTGAGACTCCAAAATGGAAGTGAGAACTTCATGACAAGACATGGAGTGCTGACAAGAGGAGTAGACGCTGTGCATGCCCTTTGTCTTGGGGTCTGAGGAATCTCTAAGAACTCACTTGGGGTCCTCCTCAGAATTCTTGCGTGGCCTGCAATGCCTTCATGTGGTGACATGACACTGCCTGCCCCAGACTAAGGCTTCCACTCCCTCAGACTCCAATGGCCAAGCAAATCAGCAGCACTTCTGGCAGCGCCTGTCCAGGGCCTCCCAGGGCTGATTGCCTGGCTGAGGTTCACTTAGTTGCTGCTATTCTGTGGGGGGTGGATCCCCTCAACACTCGTGGAGACCCTGAGCCCCACGCAGAAACACCGCCATCTTAATCAGACCGCTAAGCAGGAAGTGGTGGTAGCTCAGCCTGCACTTGCCTGTGCTTCCTGGGGTTGGGATGAAGCTCTCATTAGGTGGGTGCCCTCTTTTCTGGGAAGAGGGGGTCCCCTAAGTCCTTACTTAGAGGCTTACCTGATACCGAACAGCACCTGCGGCTCCTCTGGCTGCTGACTGGAGTCCGCACCTCAGACGGACGCACTCTTACCCTCGCTTTCTGCAGGCGGAAGTCAGGGGGCGTGACTTCCGGTGACCCCTGCCCTGAGGTCACCCGGGGCAACCAGCAGGGGCGGGCACTCACGCGGCGCTCAGTTTCCAAGCGGAGGTGGCTGCGGGTCTTGTATGCAGTCCTCACATTGGGTTCTGCCAAGCCCCAGATGCCTCCCTCTGTTGAGCTGACATCTTGACCCTCATACCAAGGTCGTCCTCCCCGAAAACCCTTTAGAGTAACTGAGGGCGTGTCTCAGCCAGACAGCCTTGCCTGGAGCTTTTAGGATGAAAAGCAGCCACTAGCCCGTTTGCGTGTGATCCCACTTTATTCTCTGTTGTTGTTCTCCTGTGTTCCCATTCATGGGATTCTCTTTTTTGGCTTTTTTTTTTTTTTCATGACTTAAGACCTCCTGGGAAATGCCAGCAAAATTTTGATGAGTTCACTTACCATAATCCTGCAGTGCTTGGAATGAGTCATGTTCCATCCTCAATGGGAAATGGGGAAGTTGGAGCATGAGGCAGGTAGGGACCAGGTCAGGGGGTGGGCTGTCGGAGACAAGTCACAGTCTTTCTTCTCTTCACCAGGCTGACTTAGCCTCCCATACACATTCTGTTCTACAAAGTTTACTTTCTTAGGAAGGGACCGAAATGAATGATTTGGAAAGTCCCTGATTTTTTGAGGTTATTGGACATTGCATATCAGAAATCATATGCAGATGATAAATATTATCTTTCTTTTTGCGTTTTTCTTACTTCTTATTTATTTTGCTATTTCTCTGCTTATGTTTTCCAGTGAACTCTGGAACAATGGAGTGGACTTGGCTAAAATACTCTTTTGGGGGAGGGTCTCCTTATATATCTTGTTTTTGTATCAAAGAGAGCCTGTTTGTTATAATATGTGGAGTAATTTCAGGTTTTTTTGTGTGTGATTAAAAAAAGTTTACATAACATGCTGGCTAGTTTTTCTCTGATTATATGGTGTGTGTGTGTGTGTGTGTGTGTGTGTTAGTCGCTCGGTCATGTCCGACTCTTTGAGACCTCATGGATTGTGGCCCACCAGGCTCTTCTGTGCATGGGATTCTCCAGGCAAGAACACTGCAGTGGGTTGCCATTTCCTTCTCCAAGGGATCTTCCTGACCCAGGGATTGAACCCAGGTCTCCTGCATTGCAGGCAGATGCTTTATTGTCTGTGCTACTAGGGAAGCCCTGATTATATGGTATAAGTAAGTGTAAGTGTTAGTTACTCAGTCGTGTCCAACTCTTTGTGACTCCATAGACTGTAGCATACTAGGCTCCTTGGTCCATGGGATTTTCCAGGCAAGTGTACTGGAGTGGGTTGCCATTTCCTTCTCCAAGGGATCTTCCCCACCCAGGGATCGAACCCAAGTCTCCTGCATTGTAGGCAGATGCTTTACCGTCTGAGCCACCAGGGAAGCCCTGATTATATGGTATAGTTGGCCTCTAAATCTAATCTGATCTAGGTGTTTAGGCCTAGAGTTTCAGTTTCTATTGATTACAATTATCTCTTTCTGATCGTCCTCCTTTGCAATTTATATTTTGCTTAAAAACAGAATCTCATCTGAATATTCAAAATTAAAGGTATGATACTGACAGCTCAACAGGTAAGGAATCTACCTACAATGCAAGAGACACAGGATATGCAGGTTCAATCCCTGGGTTGGGAAGATCCCTTGGAGGAGGAAATGGCAACCCACTCCAGTATTCTTGCCTGGAGAATCCCATGGACAGCCTAGTGGACTACAGTCCAAGGGGTTGCAAAGAGTTGGACATGACTTAGCATACACCCACATTTATAATAAATGATTTCTCATGGAAATTATTATACTATAGTACACAAATGAGTACAAGGAACCCTGTTCACTGAACATTCAGCATAACAGTCATCAATAGTTGGAAGCAGAAGCCTGATCAGATTAGTACTTTTTTGGCCAATATGTTTGTTCTTTAGCAAGATTACTCCAGAGGTGATGATTCAAATGTTCATTAGAAAGTACCCAATGTCTGTGTGCTCCTGTTTGGTCATCTTCACACTCTGATAATAATGATAATTTTTCCATTCTTCATTATGGGCTGTAGAATGAAAATTCTTTTGTCCTCTCAGTTTTTATTTTATTAATTTTTCTATAGATGGAACTCTTTCCTTATCTGCCATTAGTTTATCCTGAGATATTGTTATAACATATTTCTAGTGTTCTCTTGTAATATCTAAATTTCTGCACTGATATTTTACATGGTATTATATAACTATTATCACTTATTTCTATTTTTTCTTTTGTAATTGATAATACTTTTAAAATTATCTGTCACATAGATCTTATGTATCAGAAGAAACAGCATAAAGAAACAACATATTCTATCAGCTAGAGAATGAGCAACATTCATCAAAAGCATCAGTAAATCTGGTGGAGAAAGAATGAAAAGTCTAGAGACATACATTTGGTCAGTAACAGAAAGAACTGAGGTGATATGAGCAAGGGAGCCAGACATCCTGGAATGTGAAGTCAAGTGGGCCTTAGAAGGCATCACTATGAACCAAGCTAGTGGAAGTGATGAAATTCCAGTTGAGCTATTTCAAATCCTAAAAGATGATGCTATGGAAGTGCTGCACTCAATATGCCAGCAAATTTGGAAAACTCAGCAGTGGCCACAGGACTGGAAAACGTCAGTTTTCATTCCAATTCCAAAGAAAGGCAATGCCAAAGAATGCTCAAACTACCACACAGTTGCACTAATCTCACATGCTAGTAAAGTAATGCTCAAAATTCTCCAAGCCAGGCTTCAGCAATATGTGAACCGTGAACTTCCAGATGTTCAAGCTGGTTTTAGAAAAGGCAGAGGAACCAGAGATAAAATTGCCAACATCCACTGGATCATCGAGAAAACAAGAGAGTTCCAGAAAAACATCTATTTCTGCTTTATTGACTATGCCAAAGCCGTTGACTGTGTGGATCACAATAAACTGTGGAAACTTCTAAAAGAGATGGGCATACCAGACCACCTGACCTGCCTCTTGAGAAACCTGTATGCAGGTCAGGAAGCAACAGTTAGAGCTGGACATGGAACAACAGACTGGTTCCAAATAGAAAAAGGAGTATGTCAAGGCTGTATATTGTCACCCTGCTTATTTAACTTCTATGCAGAGTATATCATGTGAAATGCCAGGCTGGATGAAGCACAAGCTGGAATCAAGATTGCTGGGAGAAATATCAATAACCTCATATAACACCACCCTAATGGCAGAAAGCAAAAAGGAACTAAAGGGCCTCTTGCTGAGGGTGAAAGAGGAGAGTGGAAAAGCTGGCTTAAAACTTAACATTCAGAAAACTGAGATCATGGCATCCAGTCCCATCACTTCATGGCAAACAGATGGAGAAACAATGGAAACAGTGACAGACGTTATTTTCTTGGGCTCCTAAGGCACTGTGGATGGTGACTGCAGCCATGAAATTAAAAGATGCTTGCTCCTTGGAAGAAAAGCTATGACCAACCTAGACAGCATATTAAAAACACAGATATCACCCTGCTGACAAAGGTCCATACTGTCAAATATATGGTTTTTCCAGTAGTCATGCATGGATGTGAGAGTTGGACCATATAGAAGGCTGAGCACTGAAGAATCAATGCTTTCAAACTGTGGTGCTAGAGAAGACTCTTGAGAGTCCCTTGGGCTGCAAGGAGATCCAACCAGTTCATCCTAAAGGAAATCAACCCAAATATTCATTGGAAGGACTGATGCTGAACCTTAAGCTCCACTACTTTGATCCCCTGATATTGAAGAGCTGACTCATTGGAAAAGACCCTGATGCTGGGAATGATTGAGGGCAGGAGGAGAAGGGGGTGACAGAGGATGAAATGGTTTGATGGCATCACTGACTCAATGGAAATGAGTTTGCGCAAACTCCAGGAGATAGCGAAGGACAAGGATGCCTGGTGTGATACAGTCCATGGGGTCGCAAGGAATCAGACCAGATTGAGGGAGTGAACAACAATAACTGCAAGAAGATGACCAAGAAATAGGTCCACACAGCCCTAAGCTGAGGAAGAACTTGAAGAGAATCAGTACAGTGTTGGTCACCATGTCAGT